CCCTCCCAGCACCCCTCCCAGCACCCTCACTGCCCCTCCCAGCACCTCCCAGCACCTCCCAGCAACCCCTCCCAGCACCCCCTCCAGCACCCCCTCCTCCCCTCCCAGCACCCCCTCCAGCACCCCCTCTGTGTCTCAGGGGTGTCCAACACTCTCTTACTTCTCCCAACACCGTGTTAGGGCCGCTTTAAACCATCATGATTCAGTGGATGATCTCTAACACGTTGTAATAAACATTTTTTTTTGTTCTTAGTTAATTTTTACTTGTTAATTTGCGTCGTAAAAATGTCAGGTATTTATTCATCTGTTAGTTTGTTTATATGTTTGGTCAGTAGTCAGCTTTGGGGTCACTGGGTCAAAGGTCAAGGTCATTGTGTCAACTTTGGGGTCAGTGTGTCAGGCAAGTTTTGATTTACCTGCACTGATGAACATGATGATGGATAATTACCTCACCCTAAACCCCCTTCCCCCTCTCCCCACCCCCCCCACCCCGGGAGAGCTTGGCTGTGGGCGCTGATGACGTATTGTGTTGCTATTTGTGGCGGTGTTATTATTCGTAAATTTTAGTATTGTGTCAGGAATGGTGAATGGTGAGAGCTGCCCTGTTGTTTCTCACCACCACGGTCATCACCCACCACCACCACTGTCATCACCCACCACCACTGTCATCACCCACCACCACTGTCATCACCCACCGACGGTCATCACCCACCACCACTGTCATCACCCACCACCACTGTCATCACCCACCACCACCACTGTCATCACCCACCACCACTGTCATCACCCACCACGACGGTCATCACCCACCACCACGGTCATCACCCACCACCACTGTCATCACCCACCGACGGTCATCACCCACCACCACTGTCATCACCACACCACTGTCATCACCACCACCCTGTCATCACCCACCACCTGCTAACCATGACGCAACGTCCTTTCAGCTTTACCACTAGATCATCTATAACAACCAATGTACAACTAACCACACCTCACCACCACCTCTCCTACAACTTTACAGTACAGCTCGTGAAAATGGTGGTGTACTGTAGGTAGTGGACAAGGCATGAGACGAGGCAACCTGGTGACTTGTGAGAGAGAGAGAGAGTTGCAGTATCTTAGGTTGGTTCACTTCTTAATCCGTGGGGAGAAAGTCGTCACGAGTGGCCCGAGTCTAGGATACAAAAAAGTGGTGGTGAAAAGCAAGACGAAATAAATCAGAGAAGAGGAGAAACTGGGAATAATTTGTAGGTAAAGAACTATATATAGACGTAAGGAGAAAATCTGTCGAAGGTATATTTAGACGCAAGGTAAAGAGGTGGTAAAACAGAGGTGAATCACAACGTAGTGAAGCGAGAACATTTGTGTAGGAAGGAAGGAAGGTAACAACGGCAGAAGAAGCAGTAGGTATGTAGAGCCCCAGGGATATGTGTTTGTGTACCCAGGGGAGGGAGGGAAGGATCAACTAAGAAATAGGGGTTAGTTCTCTGTTATGGCTGTCCCCAGTGGTGGCGCTGTAACACCCTGGGGGAGGTGGGGCTTTACCCGGCTTCACCAACACACCACTCCAACACTACAAATGGGATCCCAGTGTTGCAGTTTCACGGAGGATGGAGAACATGTTAGGCTGCACCGCTAGAAGGATTGTGTCACATCCCCTCCAAAAATAGAAGCAAAAATTGAGGCCTGGAAAGATTTTGGAGTCGATAGGGGGATTTTTGGATCTATAAAATGACTCGGCATTCTTGGAGTGAGGATTGATTTTGGGGACTTTGAGACCGAGTTCAACAGAGGGTAGAGGAGTGGAAGGGATAGTAAAGGGGTGTGTGTGTGTGTTGTCCAGGGGCGTTTTAGCTGTTGGTAGATGGCAGGCAAGTAGTAGTCAACCATGAGCTCCATCAGTCATCAATCAGTCAGTCAAGTCAAGTCACTTCTCGTCCACATATTTATACGCCCTTCACACTATAGAACCCCTCCATATTGTCGATCAGGTCCCCTCTCTCTCACCAGGTCCCCCTTCACACACCACCTCCCCCTCCACACACCAGGTCCCCTTCACACCACTCCCCTCTCCCACACACCAGGTCCCCTTCACACCACCTCCCCTCCACACACCAGGTCCCCTCCACACACCAGGTCCCCCTCCACACACCAGGTCCCCTCCACACACCAGGTCCCCTCCACATCAGGTCCCCCTCCTCCCCCCACCTCCTCTTGTTGACCGGAATCCCCAACACTGTGAGTCTCCATTACAGCTTTAAAGTTGATTAGGTTCGAGTATTTAAGCCTCGACATGATAATTATAACTCAGGAGAAAAACTCATTTATATCTCCTGAATTGTTTGGCCTCGAGACTCGCCGACTGAGTACAGGAAGGAACAAACGTTTGGTCGCTCTTCATTTGTTTTAGAAACGTTTTTATGTGGAGGTTCTAAGCCTTGTTTTGTCTACGTTGGCGGTACAAGTGCGGGGAATGTGGGGGTGAGGGATGAGAGGAATGAAAGGAAGAGGTGGGGAAGAGGGTAAGGATGAGTGGGAGGAGGTGATTGGAGGATTAGTTGACAAAGGTAGGAGGGGAAGAGGGATGTGAGATGGAGAAGAAGTGGGGAGGAAGGAATGAGGGGGGAGGGATAAAGTGGGGTAGGGAGGACAGGTGAAGACGGTTAAGTGTTGGTATATACTACATTATTCAGACAATTCTTCTCTTGCTGGCCTGTTCCTCCTTCCTGTGGTGGGCGCCATTTCCTTGCTGCCTTAGTTCATTACAGTACTTCACCTTCCCAAGTTCTCTTTCTACCCCTGTTAAATGTTACTGTTGTTCTCTCTCTCTCTCTCTCTCCTTACAGGTAGAAAAAGAAGTACCTCCTTCCCTCCCTCCTGCTGGTCATTGTCTCACAGTCATTGCTTTTTTTCCTTCAGGAGTGAGACAGCGATTTGTTCACCTTGGCGCTTGAGGGTCTTGAGGCTGCCAGTTCGTCACCGTGTAGTTTTTTTTTCCCTACTCTTTTCTTTCCATTGTCTTGATCTTTCTAGGTCGCGGTGGTCGAGTGGACACAACACTCGTTATATCCTACGGCTTTGCTGGTTCGAGCCTGGGGGTACTTCCAATTCATACAGTTGTGAATGTGTATACTTGACGTTACAGTTGAGGAAGTGAATATGGTCGAGTGTATTGTTGGCTACAGTGATTCCCTGTATACTATAGGTTTAGTGTTCAGTATACTGTCACACCGCCTCCAACTCACATTTTATCTTGTATCAAGTAGTGGGAATACAGTGTCAGTGTAGGCATCTTGTGTGGGGGGTGGTCAGCACCTTCCTGGGGTGTTGTGTTGACGATGGACCTTAGTTTACAATACTTAATGTCCTCAACGTGTTTCTTATTTCTTTTTTTCCATTTTTATTTATTTTTCCTGTTTTTCTTTCCTTTCGCTTCTTTTTCCTTTCGTTGTTTCTTATTTTGTTTCGTTCTTTATCATTTACATTAACTATTATATTATACTTTGAAAACTAAATAATGAATGACAAAAATGGCAAGTGAACGTTGAATTTTGCTTCAAGTATAGAGAAGAAATGAATAAATGGGAAATAATAATAATAATAATAATAATAATAATAATAATAATAATAATAATAATAATAATAATAATAATAATAATAATAACAATAATAATAATAATAATAATAATAATAGTTTACGTGTGTGGTGCTGAGCCAGTCGTAGGCCAGCCGTGTTTTACCTCACCTGCCTCACCTGTAGGCTTCTCCTCCCTCACTCTGGGGATAAGGGGAGAGGAGGATTGTTGGAGATGGGGTGGTGGAGATGGGGTTGTTGGGTGGGGTGGTGGAGGAGGCAGGATTTTAGTGGTGTGATGGAGAAAGGAGGGGGGTGTGATATGGGAGGAAGTTTTGGATAGTGACCCCACACACACACACACACACACACACACACACACACACACACACACACGGAGTCAGAATTGATACATTGAGTCCCAGACAAGAGGACGAACCCCACATCAACAAACATAATTTGATACCTGGAGGATGACGAATGATTTGGACGAGTGACGAGTGGTGACAGCGGTGGTCGTGAGGGCCCTTGACTACGACCACCCTGCCCTCTGGTGGTCCTCGGGGGGGTCGTACACACACACACACACACACTCTCTCTCTTTTTTTTGATAACAAAAACTAGTTAGCTTTCACGATCCCCTGATAGCAATAACCTCCAATTGGGTTGTTTCAAGTGTTCGGTAGTTACAGTGACAGACATACACGATAGATGAGTAATTTTAGTTGATTTTGACCTTGAAAGAAATGAAAGAAGTGAAGTAAGTTGATATTTTATGTACGTAACGATGTGTGTGTGTAAGGGTCACTCAGGTGTGTGTGTGTGTATGTAAGGGTCGCTCAGGTGTGTGTGTGTGTGTGTGGTGTAAGGGTCGCTCAGGTGTGTGCACTCCCACGTACACTGCACAGAAGCTTACCTGGCCTACCATTGTGTTTACCTCTCCGTGTAAGCTGACTGACTGACTGTGGTCGTTAAATGATGGGACGCTCAGTTGGTTGGTGTAATTGGATTGTTTTTCATAGATTTTCATTTATATTTTGTTTTTTCTTTTCCCACTGTTTTTTAATTTTCCTTTATTTCAGTTTTTCCTTTTATTTATTTTTCCTTTATTTCAGTTTTTCCTTTTTAATTTTTCCCTTTATTTCAGTTTTTTCCTTTTTATTTTTTCCTTTATTTCAGTTTGTCCTTTTTATTTATTTTTCCTTTATTTCAGTTTTCCTTTTTTTAATTTTTTCCTTTATTTCAGTTTTTTCTTTTTTATTTAATTTTTTCTTTTATCTTTTATTTCCTTTTTATTTTTTTATTTATAATGTTTATTAGGACTTAGGTTACACCTTTAGGTTAGGTTAGGTTAGGTTAGTTTTAGTTCATCAGCTCTCTCCAACAATCCTCCGGAACCTTATCATCACGAGAGTCTCAGAGCCTCACCATCCTCTCAGGAGAGTCTCAGAGCCTCACCATCAGCACCAGGAGAGTCTCAGAGCCTCACCATCAGCACCAGGAGAATCTCAGGGCCTCACCATCATCACCAGGAGAGTCTCAGAGCCTCACCATCATCACCAGGAGAGTCTCAGAGCCTCACTTTCAGCACCAGGAGAGTCTCAGAGCCTCACCTTCAGCACCAGGAGAGTCTCAAGACTCACTATCAGCACCAGGAGAGTCTCAAGCCTCACCATCAGCACCAGGAGAGTCTCAGGCCTCACCATCCACCAGGAGAGTCTCAGAGCCTCGCCATCAGCACCAGGAGAGTCTCAGGGCCTCTGCATCCTTTGCAGGAGGTCTCAGAGCCTCACCTCAGCACCAGGAGGTCTCAGAGCCTCTGCATCAGCACCAGGAGAGTCTCAGAGCCTCGCCATCAGCACCAGGAGGTCCAGAGCCTCACTATCAGCATCAGGAGGTCTCAGAGCCTCACCCAGGGCCTAAGACGCGCCATAGGGAAGAGTGTTTACTATGATACAAGTTCATACTCTTTATTGCACTTTTCCGCCACTTGCCTCCTCCCCTTCCTCCTCTTCTCCTCTCCCTTTTCCTCCCCTCCTCTTAGCCCTCTCTCGACCCTCCTCACCCGCATCTCTCTCTCTCTCTCTCTCTCTCTCTCTCTCTCTCTCTCCTCATTTTTTCCTGTTCCTTTTTATTCTAATTTATCTTACACCTCTTTCCCCTTCCTCCCCTCTCCTTCTCCCTCCCTCTCTCCCTCCCCCCCTCTCCTCCTTCCCTCCTCTCTTCCCCTCTCTTTCCCTCTCCTTCCCCTCCTCTCCTCCTCTCTCTCCTCCTCTCCAACCTCTTATCTTCGTCTTCTGTATCACCTTCACTTTTCTTATCTCTCTCTCTCTCTCTCTCTCTCTTCTTCTGTCTTCTAACTCTTGCTTTTATCATTTTTCTTCCCCTCAGCCGTTATCTTCCTCTTCTTCCTTATCTCCCTATCTCTAACCTTCCTTCTTCCCTCTTCCTTCCAATTCTCTCATCTTTTTCCTTCCCCCCTCCTTCCCAGTCCTTCGCCCTCTCTTTCCCTTCCATGTCCCCTTCCCTTCTTCGTCTTGTCTCTCCCTCCCTTCCCTCCCCTGACCCCCCCTCCCCTGATTTCCCTCCTGACACACCCCCCTCCTCCCTGACACCCCCCCTCCCTCCCATATACTATAATAGTCACCAATAATGTGAACGGAGAATATTTTCGTGGAGGAGGAAGGAAAGAGCTCCCATTATAGTGCCCAGTGAATGATGTTATTATACTGGGGGAGGGAGGGGTGATGGGGTCCCACAGGCGAGGAATGGGAGTTGGGGTGATGTTGGGGTCAGGTGGGGGATTGGGGTTGTGATGTTTGGGTCCTCACAGATAAGAAGGATTGTGAAGGAGGTGAAGAGATCCTGAGTCCTTGCTGTATCAGGGGCGAGGAAGGAAGGTGACCAGGGGTTTAGTGTATGGGCTGGCGAGTGTGGTGCATGGGGTGGCGAGGCTGGTGGTGGCGAGGACCTTCAGTACGGCCCTCGTGGGGTGGGGGCCACTAATAACAGCAGGAAGGGCAGAGTCGCTTCCAGGAGATGTAGCCACACTCTCGACCTCCCTCTCATTCTCTCCCTCCTCCCTTCTCTCCTCCTTCTCTCTCTCTCTCTCCCTACTCTCCCTCCTTCTTTTCTCTTCCTACCCTCCCTCCTCCTCCTCCTTCCTCTACCCTATACTGTTTGTGTAATAGTTGTGGAGGTGGTAGCTGTGGTAGTGATGGTGGTAGTTGTTGATGCTAATGGTGGTGGTTTTAGTAGTGGTGGTGGAAATGGTAGTATTTTGGTGGTAGTGTTGGTACAGTAGTAGTGGTGGTTGTAGTAGTATTGTGGTAGTGTTGTTAGTAGTTGTGGTGGTGGTTGTATAGTGATGTTGATGTCAGGGTAAATTGGGAGTGGTGGTGGCAAGGTCAGGGGTGGTGGTAGTGGCAGAAGTCAGGGAATGGTGGTAGTGGTGGTGGCAGAGTCAGGAAATGGTGGTAGTGGTGGTGGCAAAGGTCAGGGAGTGGTGGCAATATATGAGGGTGGGAGGCTGCCATTCCCTGAACCTCAAAGTAGAAAAGTTAGTGATGGAGTGGCAACACGGCAAGCACTGCCCCTCTTCTTTTGTTTGTGTGTATGTGTGTGTTCATGTTTGTGTGTGTATGTTTGTTTGTGTGTGTGTGTGTGTGTGTGTGTGTTATGTTTGTGTGTTGTTTGTTTGTGTGTGTGTGTGTGTGTCGTGACTCGTACACTCTCTCACAGGAAAATATCATCATCATCATTATTATTTTCTACATGAATTTCCTATTGTTTTATATAATGTGAGCTTGAGTGACGGCGTGAGTGCTTTAGGAACTCACTAATAGATGGGGGAAGATGAGGGGGAGGTTAGTGTTGATTACATACGTACTTTCACACTTATACACGTCACTTTCACCTGTCCATCACCTTCACACCTGTACTTCACTTTCACCTGTACGTCACTTTTACACCTGTACATCACCTTCACCTGTACGTCACTTTCACACCTGTACGTCACCTTCACACCTGTACGTCACTTTCACACCTGTACTTATAAACAACACTAATCACTAATATGAACATTACCAAACAACTATATTAAATGGGACTATATCTTTATAAATTAATATAGATGAATTATATAGAGAAAAATGGAACAATATTTGGTACAGAAAGTTCAACAAATATGGATTTACGAGAAACTTTTTTTTGGGGGTGGAACTTTGGGATTACTTTGGGATAATTTGCATATTATTTGTGTTTGTTTGTTTGTGGGGAGATGTGGGAGAAGAGAGTTTGTTTACTATTTTCCCTGTTGTTGATTTTGAGAAAAGAAAATTGCGTCTAGAATGGTTGATAAAAGGTGGATATTGGGTGGGTGAGTGGGTGGTAGTGGTGGTAGGTGAGTGGGTGGTAGTGGGTAGTGGGTGAGGTGGGTGGTAGTGGTGGTTAGGAGCGGCCAGGCATGTCTTCACCCCCTCCCTCCTTCAGTAACATAACACAAACTTGATATATTAAAGGCTGTGATAAAATACTTTGAAATTTCACTAAGGTTTATTATTTATATATTTAATTATTCTTATTTATTTATTTTTTTTTACCTACTGAACAAAGGAATATTTCTAAGTTTCCTCTGCCAGCCAACTCCTTCAGGCAGGATTCTGAGGCAGCGATTTCCTCCTCTTAGTCTCCTGGAGGTCGTTAGTCTTAGTTAACCTGGTACCTCCTCAGCTCCGGCCCGCCCCATGCACCAAGTTCCAGCTAACACCATGGCCCAGCTAACACCACGGCCCAGCTAACACCAAGTCCCAGCTAACACCAAGTCCCAGCTAACACCAGCCCCAGCTAACACCACGGCCCTGAGATATACCACTTTTCTTATTTTTTTATATATTTTTTTTTCTACTTGTCTTGATATTGCATGAGGTGTGGTGAGAACGGTGAGGTGTATCATGCCACTGCTTGACGACCCAGGGGGCTGTGTTGTGGTGGTGAGCTGATTTAGGTGGTGGATGAGGTGGTGGTGGTGAGGGGTGATTAGGTGGTGAGGTGGTGGGTGGGGGTGAGGGGTGAGTGGTGGTGAGGGTGATTTAGGTGGTGGGTGAGGGGCTATGTTGTTGTTATTGTTTGTTGTTTTTGTTGTTGTTGTAAGACAGAATGGTACTAGGAATAACTGGTGATATATTAAGGAAGAAAAAATTAGAACATTCTCGTGAATAAGGTAGTGTGTGTTGTGTGGGAGCTGGGCCGGTGCTGGGGAGGCTCTTGCGCATCTCACTGTCACACACACACACACCCTCACTGTCACACACACACACACCCTCACTGTTACACACACACATACACACACCCTCACTGTCACACACACACTGTAGAAGGTCTGTGACAGTGTGTGTAAAGAACGCGTCAAAGGATTAAGTAAAGAGATGAGAGGGAGGAGAAGTCGGCCCTCCTACTTGTACTTTATTATGCCTCACTTTCTTTCTTTTTCTTCTTTTCCTCACTTGAAAGCTGGAAGCGTCTTGCTCCTTGGCCTAACAATTTATGTTTGCTCGTTTGTGTTTACTCGGGAACAACTAGCAGCCTGCCTAGTACGGTAATGTTATAATTTAATCTTTCGTTTTAGTAAGAAATTTTTTTTTTAAGAAATTCACATATTTACTAAGATGAAACGGTAGTAGAGGCCGCTAATGGTGGACCATCTGCGAGTGTACTAAAAAAAATTTATGTAGTATTTTGTGTCGTTGTTAGTACTTGTTACGAGTTGCTAGAACCAAGGAACATTTTCTAACAAATAAAAACATTTTATAGTAATTATTTTCTCATTAACTATTTTTTATATATATTTATTTACGTTAAATTTCCGTTGCTTTATAAATTGATCTTGAAATTAAAGTTATGAAATATTTTATTATGTTGGTAATATTGTTTGGTGAGTCTTAACCCTAACAGTAATAAAATATTCATGATTAAAGTATTAGTTAGTGTATCGTGTTAATAAATTGTTAATGCAAACTAAAAAAATTCCATTCTGGTGATAGTAATGTGACGCGACCCTCTCCCACGGCCCTCTCCCACGCACGACCCTCTCCCACGCACGACCCTCTCCCACGCACGACCCTCTCCCACGGCCCTCTCCCACGCGACCCTCTCCCCACGCGACCTCTCCCACGACCCTCTCCCCGCGACCCTCTCCCCACACGACCCTCCCCGCACGACCCTCTCCCCACGCGACCCTTCCCTCCCCTAAGACGCTTTAGAGACTACATACAAGAATTAATAGATTATCAACTAGTTTCTGGGTTACCTATAATTTATGTCTTGTTTTGCTGTAGAATTATACGTGTCTTTGGAATATTTTGAAGTCATTACACCTATAATGATACACTGGGGAAGTTTACGTTGTTATAACTTTTAAACGACGGCTTTTATGTCGAGGTGGTGGTCGTGGTGGGGGTGGTAGTGGTTGTGGGGTGGTGGTAGTGGTGGTGGTAGTGGTATTGGTAGTAGTAGTGTTATTAAGTTTGGGTGGTAAAGTGGTAGATTAAACCTTGGGGAGGCCGGGTGTGTTGAGTGTGTGGTGGTGTGGTGGTAGTGGGGATGGTGGTAGTAGTGGGGATAGTTGATAGTGGTAGTGGTAATGGTGATGATGGTAGTGATGAATAGTTATTGTTCCCTGAGGACATTCATGCCGCCCACACCCACCCACCCCCCCCACCACTTACCCTCACTGCCTCCCCCCCCCCCACCCCTCCCTCTCCCTTCACCACCACCACCACCCCCTCCACCACCCTCTCTCCTCACTCCCCACCACTTACCCCTCCTCACCTCCCCACCACTTCCTCTCTCTCTCCTCCCTCATTTCTCCCTCCCCCACTATCTTTTACTGTTTCTTACAACTTCATGTTATTGCTCTCCTTCTCTCTCTCTCTTCCTTTATTACCGTTTTACCTG